CTAGGGAACCGTTCTGGGTCCTCAACTTCAATGGATGTCGCGTGAGACGATTGTTTTGAGATAAAGTCAACATAGACTTCCAATTTTCAAGGAATTGCCACACCCAGTAACACGTCTACTGCGACTACAGTTAGAATCAGTACTGACGGACACATTGTTTAAAACAAGCAACTCCCGAAGTTCGTTCAAAAAAGCTCATTTTTCATTCCATTCGATAATCCACCTACTCCGACGTTCACTCACTCACTTAGAATATTCGGTTGGAAACTAAAAATTGAGCATTCTTTTACCGATGAAATTTGTATTAATTCACTTATCAAAGCATAGATTGTTGGTTATCGCATGATTGTAGCTGCGTTCCTCGTATTGTCCATCATGGATTTCTGTTAACTTTTCACTATTAATTTACGCTAAAAACAACCTTCAGTGGATCACTGTAGTTAGAAAATGGTTGATCGCTTTCATGAAGTTGCCATTTAGATGATAAGATGACATCTTTTCCACTTTTCAATCGAGAAGTGATTGTGCCCTGACGTGGTGCGCTAGTTTGGGCAACTCTATGACCCAACGGGGTACACAGGATGGCATTTATCTAGCCAAGAGATTTTATCATGCCTGATGGGTCAGATTGTAAAGGTCTTCCGGTTATCCTCTTTCGAGCTCATCTCGAATAAACGTCTCAGTTGGTAAGAATTGGAGGGATAATCGATCCAGGTAAATGGATACACTGCCCTAAGGCCACGTTCCTGTCAGAACTCAGTTTTGGTGGTAAGCAGCACTCTGTCGTCCGATTCAATATCACGCCTAACCTATCGGGGCCTTATGTGGTACGCCACTCCAAGTTCCGGGGCTTAGGAGACCGATTTCAACCATTGAACAGTTTCTTCAGTTTTTGGTTTTACAACCATTAACCATGCACTTTCGTGCGCGAGTTTTGGTTGCTGTCTCTTGGTTGCCCATTTGGATAAAATAGCGAAATGAAGATTGGAATGTCGAAACAAATTCAAGCGGAAGATAGGTAATACATATAGAGTCAGATACGGAATACATATACCAGCCTTGGCAAACATCGTTCGCCGTGCCAACCTATCTGGTGACATGCGTAGCACATGTCCCAACCAGCGAGGTCGATCACTTGTTCCAGTGGATGACCGCGACTGCCTAAAACTCTACGCCTAACCTC